GTGTGTGTGTGTGTGTGTGTGTGTGTGTGTGTGTGTGTGTGTGTGTGATTTAAGACTGGACAAGAAGATAGACTGACTAAGTTTGTATAACATGGTTTATATAACATGGTATATAAGCATGTATAACATAGTTATCTCATGAACCAGAAAGCCTCACTACCTGTTCAGACACAGAGGCGGCTGGCCCCATAACCTTCCTTTCTTTTCCATTGTCCTTGCCTCTGAGAGAGTGATGTTCTCCCCAGCCAGGCAAGAGCTGAAAAACAAGAAAGGTTTCAGGCTCATCTTCCCTGGCTGGTCTCTATCTCCACAGGCTGCACTCGCAAACCAAGCATATTTAATGAGCATTATGGGCTATGACTGGAGTCTAGGACACTTGACATGTCTGCTTGATGTTCTCCAAGTGCTTGAGAGTTAGGGGAACGGAGCTAGGAAGGCTAGGTGCCAGTATCTGTCTTCTCTCTCTAACATACTTCATAAGTATGTTCTCAGTGAGCTTTACTTCTCATCTGTGTGAAGGGTGATGGCAGTACAATAAAAATTAAAGTGCCACTGAGGACTGGCAGTGCTGATTGATAATTAGTCGTCGTGGCAGCCATGGCAACAGCAGGAGGGATAGACTGGGTATATACATATAACATTTGTTATGTGCTGGGCACATGCATGGCCCTCTATATGTTGCACTTTAAATCTTTGAATAGGTTTATTAGCCTGATTGACAAAGGAAGAAACTGAAGATCAGGGGGAAATCTGCAACTATCCAGATACCTAGTCTAGAAAGCAGATGCAAAGGAAGCAGCTCAAGTCAGGATATCTTTGGTAAAATCCACTTAAGACTGTGTGGCCTAAGCAACATGCTTACCCTCTCTGGACATCATCGTCTTGTCTCTGTTGGTATCATCTACCACTCCAGTTATTGGGTTTTAGTGAGCGAATACATGCAAAGATCTTAGATTCATTCCTAGCCCATGGTTCAAGCCCACTAGACATTACTTATGATGTAATCAAAGTAGCTAAGTCTAAGAACTTCAGGCTGGCATTGTTTTGAAATGGGTACTTAATCAACTACTTCAGGTATGGAAGGTACAGGATCTTCACCATTTCTGGAAATACCCCTTTACTTGTCATCCAGGACTACTTCTTCCTACATGTGGCAGGGTGTATGTGTGTGTGTGTGTGCGTGCGTGTGTGTGTGTGTAGGTGGAGGTGGGGGGAGGACAGGTAGATATAAGCCTGAGATGTACTACCACCTGTCGATTTTGGGGTATATAATTGAAGACTCTTGGATCTCTCCCTAAGAAGGGAAAAATTCTGGCTCCTACATACAGAGTTGCTATGATGAATAGGAAAAAAAAAAATCTCTGCCGGATCCTGAACACAAAGCCTATTCCACAGCAAACACTCAATAAAAGGGAGATGGAATGGACTTTACAGGTAAATTAGCAATTTTCTTAGAATCATAATCACTTTCAATGAAGACAACTAAATGTGGAATTTTTATCACTATCTGGTAGGTAAGACAGGAGGAAGGATTTCAAGGCTAAATATATCATCAGTAGTCTGCTCTCCTTCTTCGCTTTCTCTTCATAGAAACCCTTCCAACTTTGCCCCAGTCTAGGTGAGAGACCAAGTCACACAGCTAGGATATCCAAGTACCCTACATCTCCAAGCTGGACCTGTCTCAGAATGAAGGCTCTGTACAGTTTCCCTCAGTTTTACTGGCATCTGAGAATGCATTTTTATGAGACTGAGAGAGAAAGAAGAGCAGATTAAGAATCTCTTACTTGACACAGTAGAGGGTGATATAAAGAAAAAATGTAGCTAAGAGATAGAAAAAACAAGCCCCTGTGATTGATAGTAACAGTTTGGCCCCTCCATAGCTTGTCAGTCTGACAAAGCTATTTGACCCTGAACGGTGGCCATCACATTTGGAACCACGGAGAAAGATAAAACACACAAAATGTTACTGAACATCATAAAATGATGCTGTCTTCTCTGGTCCCAGACTTCATGGCTACCAAGTCCTAGAAATCTACACAAGAGGTGATAGTCAAGATAAGAGGTAGGTCTTCTGCATGCCCACCCCACAATGAAGTGTGTTTCCTTAGCAGCTGACTGACCTGAGACCTTTGGCCCATGTATGCATCGTAGCTGGACCCGTGGTACTTGGTCGGAAAATCTGGGCTGTAGCCAGCATCACAAGTGCACGGAATATTTGAGCACGGGGGCTGTTTCCTAGGCCTATAGACCTGTGGGAGAAAGCTACAACGGTTAGGCGCAGGAGTGGAGGGTGCTCAGTACTCAGGGGAGGAATTGGGGGAAAGCAAAGGATGCTTATCTTGACTTTCTGAGCCCAAGTGTTTGGAAAACCCAGTGTAAAAGATGCGCAGCCCCAAACAAAGAGATCAAATATAAGCAGTTCCTGAGCCTGGGTGCCAGTGATAGCAAGGCATGCCATTCTGTGGAATGATCCCAATGTCTGGCAGCAACTGAGACCCTCCCTCTGCAAGGAGAAGGTGTCCAGGCATGGCAGTGGTCTCTCTCTGTCTTTCAGCAAGGCAGTCCTATAGGAAATAGGAAATGGACTCAAGCTCACCTCTAAAGAACGTCTTTTCCTTCCCGAGGAGGGGGAGAGTTGGCATTGTGCAGGGGGTGTGAGGGGAGCTTATTACCAAGGACTGTTTTCAGCACAGTTTATTTTAGCAAGCAAAGTCTCAGTCCCAGGTACCCAAACCAATGTAGACACTATGTGGTAACCATGTGCCATGGAGCGTTTCAGGGCCACAGGTTCTAGTTGAGATGTGGTGGCCACCTTACCACCTTATGAGGCTGCACACCACTGAGCTGAATAGGTTTTATAAAGCAAGGTTTTGAATGAATATTTTTTACTACTGCTTTACCAAAGTCCTCATCATACATAAAAGTGATTTCCCCACCCTCCACACGTGTTGAGGAGAGAACACAGAAATTGGCAAGTTCTCTCTACCACTGAGCTACACCTTGGTCCTTTCCCAAGTTATATATGGAGAAGAAACAACATCTGTAGATTTTAGGGATGGTTTTCCAGTATACCTCAGATATGATTATTTCCACCTAAGCTGCTTCCAGAAACCCCTCCCCAAAGCAAAGAGCTTTCTGTAAAAGTTAAAACCCCTTCCATTTCTCTAAGACAAGCACCATGGTCTAGAGAGAAGGAAATAAAGAATAATGGGGGTCAAATGGGTGATTATAAATTAGAATGAATAATGGCAGACAGGTCTCCAAGCCTAGCCTAGTGGGGCTAGAGTTGGGAGATGCTCCTTCCCTGAAAGATCCCAGAGGAAACAGCTGAAGAACAAAAGCTAGAAAAGTGGAGAGAGAAAGGAACTTTTGGAAGTAGATGAAGGGGGTTCTTCCCAGAGCCCAGAAAGTGAGCGAGATCAAAGGGAAAGATAGTCCCCAGAGTTCAATTAGGCATATCTAAGATTTAATTAGAAGTGCAAGACTACTGAAAGGAAGAGAGCTGAGTGCTAGTTCTGCGAAGATGATGCTAATCAATATAAAAGAAAGGAAAGCGGAGCCAGTCGCGGGTTACACAAGCCCAGCCGCATGCACATCAACACAGAGAAGCAGGAACATGGAATTTCAGCAACAGCGCAGGCTGTTTTGCTCCTACCTGGTTGTAGCTGTGTCAGCCTGCAGAATGGACATGAGACAATGAAGAATGGCAAACCCCAGGGAAAGCACCGAGGCCCCAGACCCAGCAAGACACACCTGGCGTGCAGGACGCCCCACCTGCTGCTTTAACTGATGCACCAGTCGGTCTTTCTCCCTCTTCAGAGCCATGACTTCTTCCTGGGTCTTTTTCTTTTTGGAGGCAGATAACTCCAGCAAGGCAATGTTAGCGTCCTTTTCACTGATGGCCGCGAGAAGCGCTTCCTGTCTGGTAAGACAAAGATAATTGTGATAGGTCTTTGTAAAATGAAAAACAAAACTGAAAATGCATCCTCAAATAATTGGCATTTGTAATTCACTTGAGCCACCGAATTCTTATCTTAGTGGAAAGGAACTATAAACAGTACTGAAGATGCACTATACTTTGCTCTCAGACAAGGTAGCTGGGTCAGAATCACTTAGACTTGCTCATTGTATCATCTGAGAGAGGGTTCCTTCCAAGGCTTCATAAGTACAGCTACAAATTAGAAGTAGGAGGGGGGGTCAAGATAAACAACTATCGATCCATCATCCTGTTTATCATCTGCCAATAAGGCTCTATGTCTCCAAGGCACCCTAACAAAACTAGGCAGCAAATTTATGATCATGTGAGATTTTACATATGACATTATTCTTCCCATGTCAGGTAGAGATTGTTACAAGACTTTCCTTCTCATTTTCAATTTATTTAGTAAATGTGACCCTTGTTCTCATTTCATAGGCATTGCCTGTGACACACAGCTCCTCAGCCTCCAGGTTTCAGTCCAAATGTGTCTTCTGCAGAGAAGTTTCTCCAGTTACCATCTCTCACAGCGATGTTCCACCTGCCACCCTGTATTGTCGTTTAGATTCTGTCACATCATACTGTCTAATTTTCCCCTGGTACCCTTTGCCACTCGACATGAGAGTGTATATTTATTACTTGTGATACTCTCTCCACTTAAGGCCTCATTCTCATTTGTCCTTGGCAGTTTCAGCTTCTAGAAGGAGCTGTGGGTGATCAAAATCATTAGCTCTATAATAGATGTGTTCACTTTTTAATTCTTATAAACTTTGAAAACATAATTCACCTTTTTCTTTAAAATAAGAAATCTAGAGCCAACAAGATGGCTTAGTAGGTAAAGGTACTTGGGCCACAAGCCTGAAAAACTGAGTTGAATTTTCTGGAAATCAGCTCCACAAGGTTGTCCTCTCCCTTCCACATGTACACTGTGCCACATGATGTCCCCATGCCATCACGCATTCAAGGATATGCATTACATGCATGTGCACATGCACACACACACAGAGACAAAAATAAATAATATTACATATTAAACATTTCCCTCTGGGTTTATGACCCCTGATTATTTGGAAGTCTCGAGTTGTTTCCTCCCATCTTTAGATTCTGTTTTCAGGAATGCACTTGTTACAAACTGTAGCCTGGATAGTCTGGTACAAGTTTTTTGACAAGCAAATGGCATTCTTGAGTGTGTTTCATGAATTCCTTCTCTGTCCCTACCACCTGGGACACTTACGTTTACTTTAGATGCTTCAGAAGATATCACAGCTTCAGGGGAGCCTCACTATTGGGAATTTTGCATGCATGTATGTCTCAAGACTAAAACTTGGTCATGCACTTGAGCTGCATTTTCTTATCCCAATCATCTGAATTGGCTTCACTAGATGTTTGGACAAGGTGGCCACTATTCTCCCAACCAATTTTTATGACATGGATATGTAAGATCTTTTTAGCCTCTATTAATGCCTGGCAGTGTGAGCTTCTGCCAGAGGCTCAGGCTGTTGTCTGTAAGAATAGAACATATCAGAAAATGGCTCCCCCTTTCAAATAAAAACTGGTAGAGCTCACACTAGAAGCTTCACTGGGTAGTATCTTGAGATGGCAGAGCTCCTCATCACTCTGTTATTGCATGTTTCTCTAAGATCCTGGGTTAGAGAGGTTGTGTGCACTCCAAACAAGGGAGATCCCCTGTGCTTAGGTTTATAGCCAAGTCTTATCACTCAGAGACACTTCACAAAAAAGGTTTGTTTTTGTTTCTTTGTTTGTTTTTTAATGGTTAGCCAGGCGGTGGTGGCACACGCCTTTAATCCTGCACTTGGGAGGCAGAGGCAGGTGAATTTCTGAGTTTGAGGCCAGCCTGGTCTATAGAGTGAGTTCCAGGACAGCCAGGACTATACAGAGAAACCCTGTCTCGAAAAACCAAAAAAAAAAAAAAAAAAAAAGGTGACGGAGAACTGAGAATCTTTTTATTTTAAATTTTTGAATGGCTGAACCAAACTTCTGCATATGTGGAGGAAAGCAGAAATAAGTTCTTTAACCTTCCCATTCTCTTCCAACGTTAGCCATTTTCTCTGATGTGCCTAGATTCATCACACAGGTCACCACAGCCATTTTACTCTTTCTTCCTAAGCTGACATTGAAAATAATATTTTTCCATGGGTGCAACTTAAAGGATCAATTTTAGGAAAGCTTGTGGCAAATTGTGCCCTCTCCCCATTGGTATCTCTTTACAGCTATGTGAAGCCATTTAGAATGCTCATAAAAGGCTTAGTGACCTGTGAAAACCTTTAAGCTTGCTGTTCATCAGGAGTCTTGTGTTTCGGTACATTTTAGAACCAACACTATTATCTTCTTTTCTGATAGATCTTTCCAGGGTAGTTGTATAGCAGTGAGCTGTGAAAGAGATGGGTGGTCTCTCTCAGTCAAACGGTAAGTGTGCTTGTTATGCCATATCATAGTGATGAGCAACAGGCTGGCATGCCATTACCTATTATAAAGTATTCAAGTACCCAAGATTGAAGTTGCTCTCCTGTAATACAAACATCTGCATGAATGTGGTCATCCGGTAGGAGCAGTTGCAACGGGAATGGGTGCGAACATGCTAGCGATGATCTCTGTGTTATCAGCAATACAATTGTTTATCTCTGGCACAGACGACTCTCCTCATCTCTAGTCCCAGTGACTGATGTGGGACGGCAGGCTATGTGCCACGAGAGGCAGCTCAAACTCTCCACAGTTCTTGAGATGGAAGTGAATATCCAACAGGATTCCAGAAAGAGAAGGCGAGAGACATGGACTTACCTTTACCAGCTTTCTGTTTATTCCCTGCTATGTGATTCCCTCCTTCCACAAGACACCATTGAACAAATGTTACATACTGTAAGGTACTGTAAGTAAATCCGTGAACTCACCAAGCAACAGCAGGTACCAGCTTCCAAAGCTTTGTAGACTTAAACGTTTTCAGCAAAGTTATTTATGTTCTGTCTATCACTCTCAGCCTTGATGTTTGGATAGGGGCACACAGTTTTCACATGTGGAAGTCTGGGACAATCTAGGTTGACTCTGACTTGAAAAATGTCAAGAGTCTCCTAACGAGGCTGAGTCTACTTTTGCCTCCTTTGCCAAATTTCTTCTTCCAAAGTTTGATGTTACACAGATTTAATAACAATGCTTAAATGTTACCCTAACCCAATGACTGAGCATTCGAAGCTTCCCTTCCCCATGAGTCTATAACTCAGGGTGTTCAGGAATTTAATACTTTTCCTTTTACAATACTATTAAAAACCCCAATAATAATAATATCATGATTAATAATTATTATTATTATCATCATCATTATTACTGCCAGGAATTTAAGTATTATATATGCTGGGTAAGCACTCTACCACTGAGCTACAAATCTAGTCCCAATAAATTAATTTTTAATTAATCTCACTTGAGTGTTAAAGAAAAATACAATTTAGTTTCTAATTCCTTATAGATGCTATCACCAAATATAGCTCATAAAACAACTTTTATAAAAATATTTAAGGCTACTCAAAAACATTAATAGTCATAAGAATAATCCATTTGGTTATTCATTTTTGTTTATTTTGGTTGACCAATATGTCTTATATATGTTTGTACTATACAATTATAAAACTCTCAGTAAAATTCATTTAATGAAGATCATATGCATCTTGAAACCCTCACTTAAATACTGGTCAGAGACTAATATGATTCCCTTAAAATATATTGAGATTTACAGTAAATAATTATAACCATTACATTAAAGGAACAGTTATCCGAAGATAACAAAAATATATAAAGATACAAATGTAGAGCCCATCACCCATCAGGGAGTCTGGAAGGATTAAGACTGTCTCTGGCTGCCTGTGTATGAGCTGTGAGAGGCGAAAGCTCTAGGTTGGCAGAATTATCACATTGCAGTTCATTCAATCAGCTTTACAAAATGAGCAGAGAGGGGGAAGGGGGAATTCACACACTTGTTCTACTATCTACAGTATTTTAAATCACGATGAGCTAACATCTGTGCAGCTGTGGGTGTTCATTATCTTTGTTTTACAAGCATCCTTTTTTATAGAGATACTGGACATAACTTAGAAAAGATGAGCTTCATTTGCCAGCTCCATATCCTACATCTATGCTTTTACAGTTCCTGGGAGCCCACTTTCTAATCTGCTGCCACCGAGCAATGACACTCAAGTACTTCAGGGAAACACGTGAAGCCCTGCCTGAGAGAACAGACTGGGAGGCTCCAGTTAACAATCTCTGCTTTTCTCACCATGTGGAGAAGTTCGGTTCAGTCACTTGAAAATTTAAAAACATTTGCAGTTCTGAGCAACCATTTTAAGAAGTCCAATTTAGAAGATTTCCAAGTAACAAGACACTTGACAATAAACACAAAGGAAATTCCTCATCTTTCTAATAAATACACTGCCTCCTGAATCCAAGGCCTGATTTACGCTGCTTTAGCAACTGGTTCTGTCCCATCAACCAGAAATGTTGCTAGATCTTTAAATCCTTCCCAGCACTCAATCCAACCTTTTCTCTTACTCACGGACAATACATCCTTAGTCATTTAGCAGGGTTAAGTATATACTGGAAGCTTGCATTGTTATCTGTAGAACACTGCTATACTTTAGTATACAGTTACTGGGGTAATCTGTCTGTGCACCAAAATATAGATTAAAATATGAAAAGGAAGCCCAAATATGCTAGCAAAGAAGATAAGATAATGCAAAGAGAAATAAATCTACGGGGTCTGCTGTGTGCCAAGCTAAGAAAGTGGAGCATGGACAGCATTTTATCAAAGTCCAGCCTAAACAAACGTCAAAGAGAATAACTTCTTTAACAAATATGGGCAACAATGGAGGGGAGATAGGAGGAATCCTGTGCCCCTCGTGCATTTAGGAGGGGTTAACAATGGATAAAAATATGCACAGGAA